AACTAATGAAAAAAAGTTCGATTTGAATATCTTAAAGATTTAAAAAGTTTCAAGCAATTTTCAAAGCAGTTTCGTACTTTTTCAAAGAAACTTAAAAAGACGAGGCGTTTTCTACAAATATTTTTTTGTATCCTAAGACAAAATTAAATAACAAATGATAATTCCTTACAATAAAACGTTCACACACCGAAATAATATTGTATGAAAAAAGAAAACATGCATACGAAAAGATATTTTTATGGGGCTGATCCCCAATAATACCGATGTCATTTTCGATAAATCCTGTTTAATTGTGCAAAATAAAATTCGTGGAAAATCCCTTATCATTTTGAGCTTTCTTTTGATAAATGCAAAAATTACTTAGAAAATGGCTTGAAACTTTTTAAAGTTTTGACATATTCAAATCGGACCTTTTTTAATTAGTTGCCAAATACGATTCACTACAAAATAAAGCAAAAAAAAAAAAATTGAAATTTTTCCCGTGCATGTGCAGTATAAAATATTTTCTTTAACTACTCATATCTTGCGCAGTTTTAAACAATTTTTTTCAAACTTTGAAGCATTAATTTTGTAATTAGTTTTAAATTGCTTTAAAAATTTTATTTAATTTAATTGAATATTTTTAAATTTATATTAAAAAATATAAGACAAAAGAAATTTAGCTTTATTTTCATTATTTTTTTTATATTTTTTAATATTTTGAAATTTTTTTTAAAATTTTTCTAAAAATGTCTACATCTCCATAAATGTTTAAGTTAGGTTTAAGAAATTTTGAGCAATTATGACATACAATGATCAAAATAGTTTTTACAAGTTACAAATTTATTGCAACAGTGTTTAGCATAGGGTGTTTAAAAGCACTATTTTCGGTTTGCAATTTATTGTCTGTCCCTCAAACCTCTAAAAAAACTTTAAACTTTATTGATAAGTATGAGAAATGGCATAACCTAAACACTTCTGAATTTATAAAATGATTTTCTAAGTATTTTTTGAGAAGGATAAAAAAATTTTTTTAGTATAGAAGCGCTTCCCTTATTTTGTCTAACCCCTGTACATACTTTCATTTATTTATTCACTTAAATACTTCGTTTCGTTTTATGTTTATTCTACTTTTAGTTTTATGTCATTTTAAATGGATGTCTAACAGTATTGTTTTTCTTATTTTAAAATTATCTTATCATGAATTATCTTAAAATTATCTTACCTGACAGTATTGTTAAATAAAAATTACAGAGTTACTACTAATATTTTGCTACTCGCTTTATTATGACAAACGGTAGTCATAGTAACAAAATACTGAGAGCTAAAATCTTAATTATCTCTTCTCAAATTAAGCTCTTAAACACTGCAAGAATTTTAGGAGCGTGTTTAAAAATAATATCCTATAAACATGCTGAGATCTTAATAGGTTGCTAAGATGAACCATATTATCATACTTAAACTAGATTACACAATATTATGGTTCAACTTGAACGTAAATATGGTTTAATTTAGCGACTTAATTAAGGCAGCTGAAAATTACTCTGTATTATGGTTCAAGTATCGATATTATGGTTCAAATTTAAGCCGGCTTTTTTGACAGCATTTAAACAATAGTTTGAAAATAATAGAAATGTGCATTTATAAATAAATAAATCAAACATAACAATAAGTTTGTGAGAAGTTTATTTCAGATCACATAGAAATTTTTTCTGTACACTAGAAACAAAAATAATAAAAAGGATTCTCTCAAAGACGAAAATAAAAAATCAGTCAAAATATAGGAAATTTTTGCTCAAAATCAATATCTGTACAATAAATAAACTCCTTAATTCAATAGGGAGATTTCACACTTTTACGGTAGCTTACGTATACGTAAGATTTGAAGCAATTGCGCATACTAGCGTTTATTTTAGATGCTTACGTTTAGTTGGCGTGATTTACGCTGTAAAGACATAGCCACAAGTAAGCTGTTTATAGCCATTAAATGTTATTTTCTGTTTAAGTCTACGTTCAAAATAAAAACATAGACATAGAAGATGAATTTGAAGAAATGTATTGACGATATTTAGAAATAAATTGTATGATATTACAAAAATTGGTTGATTCAGTAAAAAAAAAAAAAAATTTTTTTTTGTTTAACATTATGGTTGTTTAATCACACTAGTTTCATAAGAAACTAGATATATTTTCGTTATTTTAAAATTATAAATTATATTTATTTCAACAATACAATTTAGTTAAAAGAAGTTAAATATTCAATAGAAGTTCAATTATATTTTTTTAAATATTAATAATGATAAAAAGCTGCAATCATTATTGCTGAATTCAAAATCTATAATCTACAAAATTTTTCTGCTCACAGATCAGCAGTTTTACGTAGAATAAAGTATCTTGAATCGTATGCTACAGCTTTTAAGAAATAGTCTACATCTATTGTAAATGTTTGTTTTTATTTTGTGGTCAAAGTTAAAATGATATTCGACCTGCGTTAGCGTTTTTAACTTATTTTTTTCAAAATCTCTTATTTTCACTTCAACAAGTTTGATATTTTTTCATGGGCGCATGCGCATTTCACCAGAACTGAAGCATGCGCACTAGAAGTGCGCATGCTCAATTACTTTAAATCTTACGTATTCTTGCATAAATTTGCGAAACTCCCTAATAAAACAATGTCGAGCTTAATAGCGCGTAGCTATTAAAACATGAAGAGTAAGCAAAACAAACCAACTTAAAAATAATTATATGTATATTAGCTGAACATTTCTGCTTCAAAAATTTTAAATTACTATTTTACAAAACAATTGAATGAGAATTTAAAATATTAAAGTAAACTTCGCAAAATGAAGCGGTAACATTGTTATTTTTTGGTTGATTGGTTAACATTGAGAAATACATTTGAGACAAAAAATAACAATTAAACATTGTTATTTTTTGGTAGATTTAAAAACATTAAAAACCGGAAAAGATTTCTAATTAAATATTAATTAGATTTTTACCTATTAACGACCTTCACTGAATTTCTTCATTTTCTTCTAAATATTGAAGATGATTTTATACGTGATATTCTGAACAATTTCTTAAAAATCAATATGTTTAATTATTTGTTTATTTTTTTATAGTACAAGGGAAAAAAATCATCTTTTAAACTTTGACACGTAATAACACGTAAATGAAATTGCTAAGCTCTTTCGCTTGTATAAGTAACAACAAATTATTTTGATGCATTTTTTCTGCGAATATTTTATTTGGATGTAACCCTTTAATGATAACTTAAAAATTGAGCAAATTGAAGTCATAGTTCAATAGAGATAACATTTCCTAGAATGGAATCAAAGCTTACGTTTAAGTTATATAATATTACATAGTCAAAAGTATTCAACCCGTGCACCACGTAAAAACATTTAACTTACAAAAAATCAAAGCGAATGTTTATTTTGACCAAAATCAGCTCCTACTTGTATACATAGAATGTTTGCAATTTGAACTGTCATTTTTGTCTTTTTATTGAGACAAGGTCAGAGGTTCATATTCTGAACTATAGCGCGCTTACAAGCTAACAACACGCAATCGCATAACTCTTTGATGTCGTATGTCTGATCTCCGCCACGCGCCACCTCAGCATCCCCCCCNTCAGCATTCCTCCCCCCCCCCAGTAGTATGTTTGAGCTTAAAAGGATGGTACAACAAGGAATTATCATTTCGAATTCTATTTCACCTCCATTTATTTTAAAATTTAAAGTTAAGAGAAAAGAAAATTATTCAGCTAAGCTTAGATTAAACCGTAAAGTTTCAAATCCTGAAAAAATGTTTTCAAAATATCAAAATGCAATCCCGATTACTTCCACACAGCATAATTATGCATTTGTTTGTCCTTTTGGATAATTGGGAGAACGTTTTTCGCCTTTTGAAATCATGCATTGTTAGAAACTTTTCAGAAAAAATGGTTAAATAACAATTTATTTAATTGTTATTTTACCATTTCCAAACAAAGAGTCAAATAACCATAAATAAGATAGTATTTAAACTGTTAACTGAGAGAAAAACGGTTTATTAACTGCTTTCACCAAACAACCAAGATTTTATCGGACTAACTAGTCTCACCTAATGAAGCCACTTAGTTTCTTGCAGATAAGTACATATTATAGTCGAGAGAGCTAATCTGAGAAGTCAACATATGAAGAGTTTTCAGTGTCCTGCAGTCCCCAATTTGTGACCCTGGGCTATTAGAATACGATATTCTCATTCACGCATAGGTGGCAGCAACATAAAGCTGCTAAGCTATCTCCAGTGTCCTGTTAAAATTCTTTTTTATGTTTTTGAAACCATACTAGTCGTAAATGGTTTAAAAAAACTGTACAGTTTCTTATTTATCTTTTTTTAACCATACTAGTTGTAAAAGGTTCAAAACGGTATAGGTAAAAAATGTTCTTTACCGTAAACTTTACGATTAATTGGATGGACAAACTGCTGCCGGTTATTTTACGATAATTTTTTGAACGAAATTTCTTACGGTGTGGCTTACTTCAGGTTTACCAGAGCACACTTATTCTTTAATTTAAATTGCTAATTACTTATGCAGGTGAGAGAGAATTGGCCATGAAAGGTTTCTTCCACGTTATAGCATCCTTTTTAAGTCGACAGGCTTTTGAGATATATAAAATTCAGAATCATATTTTACAAATTGCATATTTTTACTTCTTAAAAATAGATTCCCCCCCCCCCCATCATAACCTAGTATAAAGTGCATCCAACAAAAATTAGTTTGAATCAGTGGGAAAATTATGCATTAACTTAATGAGACTGCAAGGAATAGTAGACACACAAAGTTGTGTAATAATAATAAATTGAGGTAAAAGGTTTTAATTAGTGCTGCACAAGCAACAAAACTTAGCTAATCTTATTTATATTGGGTGTTATTTCATGTCATAGTTGTCATGGTAGAAATTTAGTAGAAAAAANAAATAAAAATTCATATAATGTGATTCAAATAATAAGTGTAACAACACGACCAGTATTTAAAGACACTATCTATGTTAAGAATGACAAATCTATTAATTTCTGGATATTCCGTGGATAGATATAACGATGTGATTGCATTTTGAAGGAAAAATCACTGAACTACATACTCAGAAATTATTTGAAACAATATTTAACGTTCTTCACCTTTTAATGCATTATTCACTGGGATTTTATCATTATTTAGAAGAATGCAATTGGAGCTTTTTCAAAAAGCAATCGAATACGTATGAAACAAAACATGGGAAAAATCCTTTTTATAATATATACAGCTCTAAAATATTTACTGTCACTAAAAAGTATAATACAAAGGAACTTTCGAACATAAAAGTTTGGAACGGATGTGACGTATAAAACTTTTCCTCCCCAATGGAATTCAATAAATAATTTTCCCCTCTACGGCTAAGTACAGTGATGTAATTACACCATGCCATGTGAGTTTTAACATGATGAAGAATAAATTAAGTCGATTACGTCAAGAAATCGAAGTTTAAGAAGCCAAGGAAAATGCAGACCTAGTAGGATTTATCACATTTCCCATTAGGCCTAAGAATGAAAAGTTCTAAACTGGCAAAGTCTTTGTTTTACAGGGAAGGATTTTTTTTCTTATGTTTTTTTGGTAATAGCTACTGGTCATCCGAGTTCCCTAAAGTAACCACAGGGTTCGTAAAGTTGCACGTAAGGTATTTTCAAGGGAATCTGCTGGCATTCCATTTTTGTCAGTTGAGTAAAATGTCCTGTTGAGAAGGCCATGAACAGCACCTGGCTGTGCAGCGGTTTCCTACTTGAAGGTGCAAAGTGACACGGTGGGTAATCACAGAAGAGTTCATTTCTTTGTTTTGTGTCATTTTGTTTTATGACGAAGAAGATGATTTCGGTCTCTCGTCATCATCGTCATCTTTCACAGGTAGCGTGCGGTGGTCGTATAAACCTGTTATGAGAGGGTAAAAAAGGGTATTTTGAGTTATTTTCGTTGAAAAAAATATAAAAAATATTAAGATAATAACATTTATAATAATTGACTTCCTATGAAAATTTGAAAATCTATCAATGTAATCAGCTTTACAATGATTATCATCGTATATAATTTCAAAAAGCCATGAAAACAATAAGCTTGACAATGATTATAATCTTTAAAAAAAATAACAAAAACTGTCAAAGTAATGGGCTTTATGATGATGAATGCCATCTTTCAAAAATAAGCAAATTATGAAAATAAAAAGCTTAACAATGACTGCCAGCTGATAAAAATTTACAGAAACTATCAAATTGATAAGCTTTACAACAATTGTATGTAATAAGAACTTACAAAAAATATGAAAGTAATACACTTTACAATGATTGTAATCTTATCAAAATAAAGAAAAGACAAATTTATATTTTTCAATTATGAAAGAAAAAACACTTATATTTTAAATATCATTTTTATTTTCAAACTTTAAACAAGCTTTAATTACTTATTTTAGTCTTTGATTAGCTGTGATTTCTAATCAATTTGAACTACCCTAAGAAACTTATAGTTAAAGTTGAAATTTATGATTTTTAATTCAAACCACAAAAGCTAATTTAACCAAAGAAATAATTCCATTTTAATAAAATTTTCCACGGGTATTTGTAATTACATTTTACATGAAAAGTATTCTCATCTTTTGAAATTACCATTTATCTCTCTATGACAGAAATAAGTAAAAAATTTAATTGAAAGTAAATGCTTGATAAATATAATATTTACAAAAATGTACTATAATTCAATTTGGCTTCCAAAATATAATAAAAAATTTAATTTGATTCACCGTTCTTGTAAAGAGTCAATTATTTATCATTAAGATCAAAAAAAAAATTTCTCAATAAAATTAAACTACTATTACTAAAGTGCAATTTTTTAAACTGTTCCCGTACCTATCAAATGATAAATACGGTGTTTCCTGAAAAAATAGTTTATTTTGAAAATGAAATTACTTTAAAAACTACATCATTTTGGTGATAGTTTTTCAAAATAACCTTAACCGAAAATGCTTATCCTTTTAAAAGTGAAGTAGTACTTGCTGTAAATGATTACTTAAATATATCGTTATTAAAATTTTATAAATTACTTTCAACTGAAGATGAAATTAAATTCATTATTGTTATTTTCTTGCAAATGGGCTTCAGAAATAATTATTACTTTACAAATATGTGTCTGATTTTAATTATTTATTTTTAGAACTGTAAAGGCAGTATTTATAGAACTGTCAGGGGAATGTCTTCAAACTGAAGTATAGTAATAGAGTAAGCATGTTTAAAGTACTATTTTATGATATTTGAATTTTGATTCAGATTGTTCATACAATCTGAACAATATTTATATATTGCATCGATGTATTTATACTATTTGTCCAAACTATATGAACGATATTAAATAAATAATCCGAAAGAAACGAATGCGGTAAGATATTATCTGATTAAAGACGCCATTTGCTTAAATACACAAAAAGTGTATAACAGTCGATATGTTTCAAGCGCTTCAAAAATAGGCACCCATTTTCAAGACTTGCCAGACGTTAATGTGAAGAAGCAAAAGAGATTTGAACAAATTGTTTCTTCTCATTCACCTCCGCCTAGTTTTGAAAATGGGAGCCTATTTTTGAAGAGCTTGAAGCATGTCGACTGTTACTTCCTTTTTATGTATTTTTTAAGTCAATTAAATTTTCAATCCAGTATTACACGAACATATAGTTCATATTGCTTGATAATATAGCTTGAATCAATTATTCATCTTATTATTCATATAGCTTGAATTAAAAATAACAAACTTAAATATATACTCAAATAAGCATAGTTAGGAAAGTTTAGGAAATTTTATGCAATTGAAACCAACCTTCTGCCATTAATTGCAATGCCAGTGGAGACCTTCTGGGATTTATTTTTTTCAACTTTGCTCGTCTATTTTGGAACCTATAAAAATAACATTTGTATTGTTAGTAGTTATGAAAAATAATATTTTTAAAATAACATTTCCATTGTTAAGAGTTATAAATGTGAAATTTTTCTTATGAAAAGCTGTAAAAATAACATTGTTGCGATATGTTTCACAGATATCATATTTTATTATTAGCAGTTACAAAGATAACATTTTAATCGTTAAGTTAGATTTTTTTAGCTGAAATGTAGCAACAGTGTTAACTGAGATAAATTGAAGTGTTTGCAATAATGAAAAATATCTTTTTCATTGTTAAAAAGTTATAAACAGCCTAGAAATTACAATTAACATGAAAATGTTGTTTTTACATTTTTTAACACTATAAATAACATTTTAATGTTAAAATAGTAAAAAGAAAATATTATTTTAATCGAAACTACAAAAAAATAATTTTTATTATGCTGTCATTATGAGCTTAAATTTCGAAGTTATGAAAAGTGGCAAATAATTTCTTATTTTATTGATAACTTTTTATAACTTTTAATTCATTTCTGATTCTGAAAAACATATTAATCAGTAAAATAAAATTGTTACACTTTCAAAAACGGTTATCTGAATGAACGTTTTAATTCTAGCACTAGAAATGTTAAGGTATTTTATTAAAATTAGTAGACTTAAACAATTGCAATTCGCTCATTTTGTAAAATTTGCAAATGATTACTACAAAAAATTTAGATTAGATGATGTGTCAAATATTAGATCTGGTTAAATTAGATCTGTTATCAAATTTTTTATAACTTGAATCAAGAGTTTTATAGTTACAGATACATAATAGTTGTAAATATTTCTGTAAAAAAAAAATAAAAAAAAAATCTTTATGTTAGCAACCACACAATGAAAGTTTTGAAAAGTAAAAAAGGATAAAATGCAATGATTCTGGGAATAAATAAAGATGCTTCACTAAATCTAAAGATTTATTATCTTCACTATCATGTGAACTTCCATCAAAATATTTTTATTATTGATACATGTTTGATAAAAGTATGCCATAATACAATGAGGTGTAGTAGCATTTTATCTATGCCAGACTAGAGCTGTATAATGGGCTACTGGTGACGATCTGGGAGGCATCCCTGAAGATTATCCGAAGATATGCCGTCACGATTTTGCTCCTCAGCTTTATTTACTCGAGATAAAGTTAGCTACTGAACCAAAGATGCTTGCATAAATCATCAAATAGTTGCATACTCTAATAGTTTGTAAGTTTTTAAAAACTTAAAATACATCTGCACGAAGAAAAAAAATATTCTGTTAAATTGCAGAATAGTATAGTAATGACATGTCTTGTAAAAAAGAAAAAAAAAACATTATTCTGTTAATAAAACCAAAATATGCGGTATTTGAACCAAGCATTTGAAAACTTCCCCATTCATATGGTAACGATTTACGGGAAATTCTGGTTTACAAAATTGTAGTTCTTATTATCACACATTCAGTAAAAAATACGAAACTGAAAAGTAAATTCAACCGAAATACCAAAATCATTACCAAAGGGCTTCGGTCAAAATTATCGAGCTTTTTTTATTTCCATACAGCTAGAAACACTGTAAATTTAACCTTATTCAGGCAATTTTGATCATACTTTTTTCTCAATGTGTAACGCATTTTATTCCCATTATCTATAAAATATGAAGACAGAGTCTCATATATTAAGAGCGTCGTCTTAGTATAAGAGTATTCGAATAGTACTCACCATATTTTAATCTGAGATTCATTTAATTTCAGATCTCTCGCCATATCTTGTCGCCTTCGTTCGGTTAGATAACGATTTTCTGAAAATTCTTGCCGTAGTCTGTTTAGTTGTTCACTGCTGAATGCGGTGCGAGGTCTTTTGTCAGCCTTACCATCAGAAGTCTTTTTCATTCTCCTGCTTCTTGGGCCTAAAAAAGAACAAAATATATACATATATATATTATGAACTTAAGCTGCAAATTGAATAAAATGCAAAAATGTAAATGAATGCCTAAATCTTTACTATAATTAGGCTGCTAAAAAAAGTGTTTTCCTGATTGAAGATTTGCACTTATTGCGTTGAATTATAAAGCTAATTTCGTATTAAAATGAGTGAAAGTTACCTTATTCTAGAAAAAGGCAAGGAAACAGAAGCGAATAAATCAAAATATAAGCAAGTTAACATGAATAAAAATAAATAAATAAGATCAGGATTTAAATCAGGATTTAAATCTTTAAGCGAATATTTCATTAGGCGTGAAGCACTTCAACAATTATGTTCACGCGTTTCAGTTTATTTTAAATATATGAATAAAAAACATAAATAAAAAAAATAAATAAATAAAAATAAATGAATAAATGAAATATAAATGAATAAGAATAAATAAATGAACAGAATAAATAAAATAAACAAGATATAAATAATTGAATAAAATATTTGATTTGAATTGTCAAATGAAAATTTCATCTACAACAATAATGTTCACGTGTTTTTGTGATAGTTAAATTTAAATAAATGAATAAAAATATAAAAAAATGTAAAAATAAATTAATAAATAATTGAATGAAATCTAAACAAATAAAATAAATAAATGAATGAAGGAAATATTTTATTTAAATCGTTAAATGAAAATTTCATCAGGTAAAACACTACAACAATAATATTCACGCGTTTTTACGATAGTTTAGTTTTGTAGTTTTGTGGAAGCACCAAGTAAAAAAAAAAAAAATAAGTGAATGAATAAAATAATCTAAATGAAGTTTGTCTAGCTATATTTCCCAAAAATAAATTTTTTTAAGTAAAATTATAATTTAATAATGCATCTTTTGACTCAAAACAAATAAGTTTTCAGATTTGAAATTTAAATAAATTTAGAAATAAATATTGAATAAATAAACTTATAACGAATAAATAATAAGTAAACGAATAACATATAAATAAACAGACAAATATTGCATAAATGAATTTAAATAAATAAATGTAAAAATTAGATGAATGAATTAAATGACTTTCTTATTTTAATTTTTTATGTAATTAAAACGTTTTTTGAGCTATGCAGGATTTAAATTCAGGCCTGTGCTGCCCAAGAAGTTCAATTCAAATTGGGTGCTGGTTCCGACTGGTCTGTATGGTAGTCAGGGAGCTGACTTTAAGTCAGAAAGATCCCGGGTTCGAATCCCGAATAAAGCATAGATGTTCTTTCCTTCTCTTCAATGCATTATATGTCCTTCGTACTGATTCTGGATAGGATGAGTTTCCCTTTTTTTTAATACGGTGCCCCTGAGAGAGTGACCATCAAACCTACTTTTCTGATGACCGAATGACGAAAATCAGCATCTGGGTGGGCATTGGAAAAAGAAATTGGATATTGGAAAACTATTTCAGCGATCGAATATTTTTGTCCTTATAATGAAAACCAAAATACTATTTGCTTGATTTCGGCCATTCTAGAATTTAATCTGAGAATTTAATCCAAGTCTGAATTTAATCTAAGTCTATAGAAAAAAAAAAAAAAAAAAAAAAAAAAAAAAAAAAAAAAAAAAAAAAAAAACAAGCACTCATTGTTCAAAGTTTAAACATGAACAAAAAATGCAGAAACAGTTTTCAACCAGCTATTTTATCAGTCAAGCTGATCTCATCTTTAATTATTATTTATTGAAAACTCTTGGAAGAATGAATCCTTGGAGTTATAGATCAACCTGAGATGATTGTATGACTCATCATTAACTTCCGTATATTTTTTGATTGAATTATTTTTAATGAAGTTTCATGTGTTTGATCCTAAATGTAATTTAAAGGTTATAAAATTGAATTGCATATAGAAAGTTGTTATTAAATAGGAATCTAAATGAATTATTGCTGCAATAAAATGTATAGTAAAATTGTGTGGTGAAAATTTGTGACATGTTGAGAAAAAAAAAACCTTCTCATTTCAAGCATAATTAATATTTCCTACTTTAAATTTTTTTTATTAACATTTTTCTATCAAAAGCGAAACAAATTCAGCAAACATTCTGTAAGCGATATCTTTTGCAATTTCAAATATTCATACTCCAAATTTCTGAGTGTTCAATTACTTTTTATAGTAAACTGGTTATTTATAATTATAATTTTGCTGAGGTACTCAAATTGTGCACTCAGAATTGATGCATGGCATATTGCATAAATATTTCAGTCCAAATATAAGAATAACTTTTTTCTGTTAGAGATATCGTTTGCCATTTTAAATATTCTTTCTCCGAATTTTTGAAAGTTTAGTTACTTTTTATGTTAAACAGGTTATTTAGAATTATAATTTTGATCTGGTACTCAAATTGTGCTTTCAAAATTTATGCATTGCGTATTGATACATGTATGTACTAGTCTAAAAATAAAGCTTTTCATTAGCCATTTCTGCTTTTTATTTTCTGCTTTTCATTAATTAGCAGCAAATTATTAAAGAAATTCTTGAATTGAAAAAAAAAAAGAAAAGTAGAAATATTTATAAGTCTAGTTTTGCAATAATAACGACTTGATTTTTCTTCTTATATTTGTATTCTGAGTAGTAACAAGATTATTTTATATCATTAACTATCAATATTAGATAAATATGGCGATAACAATATTTTTCTAAATTGGTCTCACGATGTATCGGGAATGAGTTATCTATAATATCGCGATAATTATCAGCAATGATAATGTTACAGTAAGGATAATTATGGAACATAATATCTCCAACACTATCTGCAATGATAAATATTGAATATGATAATATGCCAAGTATTGTCGCTATGGAATACGATATTATCAAGAGTAGGGATAGTTTTCTTTTGTGTTATGAAGAAGTTGATAATTTAGCCGAATTGGGGAAATATCGTGGCATATTGTAAAATATCGATATTTTCTGTCAATATGGGGTTATTCATGATAAATAAAATTGACCCCCGTAAAATTGATATAAAACTATTTCTTCTGAATTCCGACGTGTTTTTTTCCACCTTTTTTTGTTCTTTTCTATAATGTCTTTTATCAAAAAATAATAATATTAAAGAACCATTACGACTTAATTCAGCTAAAAAGGAAATTTTGACATAATGCTCAGTGCAAAACTAGATTAAAGTTAAATTTCATAAAATATTTAACTTAATATAGTAGAACAGAGATTAGAGTAAAGTTAAATTTCATATGAGAAGAGTAGAGATAGTTTAAATTTGAGTTATGAGGATGTTAATTAATACTGTAAATTGGCCGAGTTAGGGAAATATTGTGGTCTATTGTGAAAAATAGATATTTTCTGTCAATGGATGGTGATGTTTGATAAATAAAATTAATCAATATAAAATTATTTCTGCGGAATGCCGACGTGTTTTTTCACTTTCTCTCTCTCTCTTAATATAATGTTTTTATCAAAAATAATGTTGGAGATCTCATGCGGCTTAATTCACCACAAAAGGCAATTTTGACGGTATGTTCAGTGCAGAACTCGATTAAAGTTAAATTTCATTAAAGGAAAAGAGAGAGAGAGAAATGGTAATAAAAAATGGATTGAAGAAGCCATTTTCCATTTTTTTTCAAACAATGTTTACTTTATCTGCATTTTTACATAATTCTTGATCATTTCAATTGATTCACCCACTAACGAAAAATACAATTCTTGTCATTTTGTTATTTTTTCCCTCTCTTTTTTTTCTTGCATTCTTTCTTTTAAAATTGTATTTAAAGCGAACGAAAAAAGAATTAAAAAAAAATTAAGTAAATTCCAAACGCTTTCTGTGGTATTTATAATAATTGTTGCTCAACGAAAACTGCGGTTACAAAATTCTAAAAAAGGAAAAAAAAAGTTTCGAAAAAATATTTTTTATCATTTGTTGTAAAGAAATGCAGTACAAAGACAATATTTTAAAATTTTGTCCCAGGCTAATTCATTTTTACGCCATGATTGTTTTTACCCAAGTCCGTAGGTACCCGCTTAGAAAACAATTAACTTCTTTCGCTTCTAAAGAGCTTTTTAATAGCTGTACTCTTTTTTTTCTATTTTAATTTTTTATCTTGCTGACATTCTTTAGTGAATGTGCTCTGCAGAGTTAAGGTCATACAAAATGTTTAAACAGAGTTTCATAAGTTGAGTACGCAAAATATTCCACAGTCACATTCTTTTGTCTCTCCTCCCCTCCCCTTTTCTGACATTTTTTAATCCACTTAAAGTATTTTTTAAAATCTACTCCCTTAAAAGGAATTTATTAAACAACTCCGGAATTTTTTCCTGTCTTTCTAATTTTTTTTTTCAGCTTAGAAGACAGACTTAAAAAGTAAATTCTTGTCTTTATGAATTTTTTGCTAAAGTAAAAAAAATAATTGTTTTTCTTTTAATTTTTTTAATTATCTTCTTTAGAAATTTTTCAAAGCACGGGCGTAAAAAGAATACGGTCAAATAATTTCTAATTATAACGATTATCCTGTTCAATCAACGAAGAGAGAAGAAGTATTCATTAAAATGTTTAATTAAGGGCATCCCTTTATTACGTCATTTAATTCAAAAAAGTACATGCATACACGTAAGTCCAAACATGGTTAAAAAAATTTTATCTAGAATAATTAATCTATTGCAATTTAATTACTATTTTAGCACTTTATCAAGCGCATTTTAGCACTTTTATCAGCTTACAAAAAATTTATGACTTGATAGAAGTGCAAATATAGTTTGTTAAAAGTAATAAGTAGCAATTAAGTAGTAATCAAAAATGCTATAAGATGCTGAAATCAGTAATGAGAAATCGATTGCTGAAGTATTGATTATTGAATGCTAATAATGATGAACGTGTTTGTTAAATGTGTAAACAAAAGGTTTACATTGAAAAGCTTATTCTCAATATGATGCAATTTTTTTAAAACATGTTTCTTTCTTTGTTGCATATGTCTATGTCACATTTGTTTCTTTCTTTGTTGGAT